CCGAAAAACACCCCCCCCCCGCGCAGCCCGAAAACCCCTTTGGCGGGGCCCGCGAACGCGAACACAAGAACGCAAGGGGCCAGGGACGACGACCCTTTTCCATGACGCCCAGGAAGGCCCTGTTCGAAGGGACTTTTTTTTGCCATGTCGCGCGCACCGGGTCCCCCCTAGCGGAAAATTTGACGTGTGGCCACCGTTCAATGCACGGAACGACGTGTGGCCAACCTGTCGCGGCGTCAAACGGACCCTGCGAGGCACTTCGAACTGGAAGACCCGAAGGGGACCGGACCCACGCGCGCCTACAAATACGAGTGGCGCCCGGGGCGTGAACGCCGCTTTCTGCGTTTGTTGCTGGGTAGATGCTGCCGGACGGACGCCTCGCACCACCATTGTCGTCGACACCACCGCCCCGCCCAGCTGGAGCACCATAGGTAGCCAAGCGAACAGACAGCCGTTCGAAACCCTGGTCGCCACCTTTTCTACGACGCATCTCCCTCCACCTCCCTAATCGCTGCCCGCGTCATCTTCGACGTCACGTGTCGACATCCCGTCGACTCAACGACGACATCTCGATTCTGGATTAGCGCATCCGACGCTCCACGCATTACCATCGCCAACACAAAGCGCACGACACAAGGTCGCAGCATTCCTGTCTCGATCGACGACGGGATCCGCACGCATCTTCACTCGACACTCTCACAAGGTGAGTGCGCACGAACCCGGGACGTTTGTGTTTTTGTGAGCGCTTGTGGGCGGCTTTTCTGCTGACACATCAGCGCTGTTTGGACGAGTGTGTGTTTGCATGTGCGCGTGCGGTTGTGTTTGTGTTTGCTTGTGCGCGACGAGTGTGTGTTTGCGTGTGCGCATGCGGTTGTGTTTGTGTTTGCTTGTGCGTGACGAGTGTGTCTTTGCATGTGCGCGTGCGGTTGATTGTGTGTTGGAGTGTTTTTTTTTCGGGTTTGCGTATGTAGTGTCTCTACTTGAGGGGCGTGTTTGTGTACGCGGCGTGTGTGCGCGTGTGTGTGCGTGTGTCTGTTCGTGTGCGTGTGTGTTGTTTCGCCGATTGAACGCACGGAGGTTGTCCCCAAGGTGTGCGGCCATGGTTGAATGAATTGTTTCGCATCCCGAGGGTACTCCTGTTGTATTCTGGCGTTGAGCAACATGCGTGCGTAATATCCGGCGATTCCGTACGCTCTAATGAAGAACTGTAATCTGTTGTCCATCTATCCATCCATTGTATCTCTGTCGCCGCATGGTTCGACCACTCACACTTTGGGCAGGTCGAGGGCTACGACATTCAAACATCAAACAGGAACAATGGAGTGTGGTCAGTGGTCAGGATGTGATGAACTGATGAATGTCGATAGCTCCGATCGAACGCGTTGTGGCCAGTCACGAAACATAAACACCCCACGCTCGATCGGATGTTTCTCCGTTCATCATTTTCATACACAACAAGAGCACACGAGATCCACACGTTTGTGTGTGGATCTCATGTGATCTTGTTGTGTATGAAGCTAATGAATGGAGAAACATCCGATCGAGCGCGGGGTGATTATGTTTCGTGACCGACCACAGTCCGTTCGATCGGAGCTATCGGCATTCGTCAGTTCATCACATCCTGACCACTGACCACATTCCATTGTTCCTCTTTGCTGTCCCAACGCAGTAGCCGTCGGTCTTCCCAAAGGATAATTAATCGAAACAAGCGGCGACAGAGATACAATAGATGGGTAGATAGACAGCATTCCTTGATTTGATAGTATTCATTATTGATTACAGACAGTCCAGAGCACAAGGTAGATAATATCCCTTGATTATATGCAGTCCAGATCGATGGAGCACGATCAGATCACTCTCGACATTGTCAACGCGTGTTTCGATCGGCCGTTCATTGGGCAGTTCTCATGAGTTGAGTAACTGATGCATGATGAAAGCTTCGATCGAGCTCGAGGCGACCGGTCACGAAACATAATAACCGTGCGGCAGATCGGATCTTTCTCCACTCATCAGATCAATCATCCACACGTGAGTGGTGACATCGGCCATACCGCACGTGAGTGATGAACAGGACCATCACGATTGATCACGATACCGCCGCTGATCTGCTGAATGGATGATTAATCAAAGCAGGAGGTGACATTGTCGGGACAGCAGACGCACCCGGTCGACCAATCGCCGAACACGAACAGAGAGCTCGCGATCGGTCGATTGATCGCGTGTGCTGTCTCAACGTTGTCACCGCGTGTGTGTTTTTCGCCAGTATCAAATGTAATAACAAAACACACAAGGCACCGTGCGCGAACGACCAACCTGGCGGCGAGCGACCGATCCATCACACTCGTTGATGTACCCCGAGCGAACAGTAGAGTGGTTAATAGATCCACCACTACCAACATCACTGAACGACTGTTCGGACTGCGGTCGGACGACCGGTTGATCCAGCAGTCCACCAACCACACAGCCGAACGTGTCTTTGCGTTGCAACCGTGGCATCACCCTCTGCGCGATCGCCCAACCGGCAGGCGTACCACCGATGCAGCAAACTGGTTGACAGGAGAGCGTTGGCACAAGTAACTGATTAGTTGATTGATCGACTTTTCGGTTTGTGGTTGGACAATTACCTGATTGATCGGTCGGTCGCCGACTAGGGCACCGACATGCCAGCTGAGCGGTTCACTTTTCTCGCCCCGATTGCACTGCATTCGGCCTGCCTCCTCGTCCATTGGTCGTACGCAGCGAGCAGGGCAATTGGTCCACCACACGGTAGAAACCCGTGAAAAAGATCGATCCCTGTTCGAGAATGGACAAAAGACAGTTCGTGACGACGTTGTTGCACATCGAACGTTGCTGGCCATCGAACCTTGTCGGCCATCGAACCTTGTTTAGCATCGAACCTGGCGCCCCATCAAACCTCGGCGGGCATCGAAATGTTGACGGACATCAAACGCCACTGGACGGCAAACCTCGTCGGTCATCGAACCTTGTTGGTCATCCAACGACGAACTTTTTGCAGCCACCACATGACAGCGGGGGACCTGTGAAAATGTGAAGTCCGCCGGGATCCGAACTTCAAGAAAGCACGGGAAGGCGAGTTTGATAGACATCTGTGTCTCTCCCACGTAATTTCGCCAAGCTCGGATCCCGGTGGACCTCCGGTTCACGCCTTCCACAAGACCCAACACGCGGTGCAACCCCAGCGGGCAACCACAGCGGTGGACCAGTGAAAATGTGAAGTCCGCTGGAATCCGAACTTCAAGAAAGAGGGGAAGGCGAGTTTGATAGACAGCTGTTTCTCTCCCACCGCATTTCGCCAAG